TGATTCTGTGTGTGATAAAGCAAAATTTAAATCCCAGGTGTTTATTCTATCAAGCAAGTGGAGAGGTCTGCTCCCTTTTCGGTTTCTTGATAGGAACCACTATCAACTGCGTTATAGGCTTAAAGACAGAGTCTGCAATAAGTACATTTGTCTTCCTGGCTGATGATGCTGGCACAGGGCCACACAATCCCCGGAAATCATTTTTCAGTACAGGTATGAGCCTGAGAAGCAGAGAAGACAGGCACTTCTTTATTACAGTGTTATTCTTGCTGTTAAAAATCAAATTGCTAAGCAGCTCTGGATAGCAATTTAGCTACTACAAGGTCAGGACTCGCTTTCCTGATCTATAGCATCAATAATGCTCAATTTAAAGCAGGAAAAGCTCAAGTGCACAGCACAGCTGCCATCAAAAACATTCTTAAAACACTTGGCTCTTGTATACTCAAAGACACTGACAACACACCTACAAAAGGAGTAAAGTTATGCAAGATTACCTACAAATTCACCTCCTCGGAGACCTCCGCATGCAAGATTTCCATTAGGGTGCTCTGTACAACTAACTGTCATTTATGAAATTACCATTTCACTCTTCCAATTTCCCAGAACCTTTTAAAGTCTCAACTGGAAAACGTGCATCAGGTCTGTCAGTGTGCTAGGTATACTGGGGGTTCATGCTCTTGTTTTTAATTACATTAGCCAACATAGATAACTATTAACATGCAGCAATATCCTGCAGTGGATAGCATCAGGTAATCTTTTTCACGTCCGTTAACAAGACATGATAGATCTCAGGCTTCCAACTAATGCTTCTTGCTTGATCTGCAGCCACAAACAAAGGCTCAGTACAGCAGATGGGAGTTTTAGTACCTATGGGTTTATGGTTAGTCAACACGAGGCATATCTTTGTTTTGTTTTTACTAATTTTAAACCCTCTTCTTCCTAGTCTTTTCCTACTAGAAGGATAGGATCGACTAAAGACACCTTTTCAAATATTTCTTTCGTACTCTAGTCAGTGATAAAGGTCCTCAGTGTCTTCTTAAGTAGAGTCGTCATGATTTATTTTATCTAAAGCATCTGGCTCTTCAGAATACACTCCTTAGTCAAAAATAGCCATTACAATTAACAACAAAAAATAAAAAGCACATGTATTTCCTTTAATAAGTTCCATGTGTACCATGGGCAATTTGTGTAAGTAATAAAACATCTACATTTTTCAGTGACTACACAATGATTACTAGAGAACACATTTATGAACAATGGATGGTCCTTCTGTGATTCTGGTTCATGAGGTTATACATTGCATTAACCTTGAAGAATGAAGTTTCCCCTATGTAATTTGATTGCTAGTCTTTAGAATCAATTTTCTGCATGCTTAAAAGCCAAAAGTAGCATACCATTTATGCACGCATTTGTGATTCTCCGTTAAATCTACAATTTAAATTAACGCACAGGGAAAAAACAACTTATACTTTTTTTTTATTCTTTTAAATTGTTCTTCATCTTTCTTGGACAATTGCTTTTCAACCTGCTAAAAGAATTAAAGCAGTTCGGAAAAGAAACAACTTCTTTGCAAGACCCAGATACTCCAGGTCATCTGCTCCAGTGCACTTGTTCGTAAAATTCACAAATTGCTGTAAAACTAAGTTTCCAACAAAAACATTGTTTTAGAAAGGAATGTTGTAGGCTTTGGAATTAAAAAATAACCTTAAAAACAGCTTTGAGGATAACGGAGCTCATGCAGCGCTGTTTTACTGTTAGCAGTCAGAACAGTTTGAGGTGTATTTTGCAGTTTTTACTTTAGTGATCTGGAATGATCACATTTATTAACTATTTATTTCTTCGCTAATCCTTTTATTAAGATATCACATTAATATGCTTCTCAATCCCCGCCACTTGCCGTGACTCTACACGACAGGAGTCATTAAAACCTCCAGCTCCCCTTGTCAAAATTTATGATAGCCAACACAACAGATTGAAAACTTGCCAGAAAGTATAATTTAAACTGACTAATATCAGATTAATCATCAGGACTATCATAATGGTGGCATTATTCATGAACATATTTATTTTGTTAAAACTTTCTCACTTGGAAATTAAGATATCTGGCACACTAGAGTGCTGCAAAATGAAAGGAAGGGCAAGCAAACTTTCTGTTGGCTGGCATGTTGGGTCCAGGTTAAGACATCTTTCACAGCATTTGAAACATGCACGGCATTTTTTGCCCCTGTAACCAGACTGCGTTTTCCTCCTAAATTTTCTTCAGAGTTCTGACTTTTGGGCTGATACGTTATGCAAAGAGTTTTGGGACCTCAAACATGTTTAGAGAGGGGTGCTAGGTGCAACAAGTTATGGCAGTACTCTTGACCTTCATGGCTGCCCTTTGGAGACTTCTCATGCAAGCTCACTTCATGCATACTTTAGAAGTAAAGTATTTATAATCCATTTGCTAAGGTTCATAAAAGCAAGGCACTGACAAAGCTTGACTACAGCAGTGTAACCAGTATAGAGATATTAAAAATACCATATGATTAATCCTTCCCTGTCTGTCTCTCTACATCTATAATTTGCAGGATGACAAGGCTTAGGTACCTACCTCAGAGAAACCTGGGGAGAACTGGATGAAATAATGATTGCAAAGGATTTTAAAACTATAAGGTCTTACATGCAGTAAGTGTCTACCTATAATAGGAAGCCATTGCTCTTTCCTAAAATTGAAAAAAATGACGTTGTCCACCACCACAGGCACTGACATCATCCCCAAAACACCTTGTATCTGTTGAGAAGCGCTCCACTCAAAAAAGCTCAGCTAAGACACATATTCCTGTTAACAGAGTTAGTACAGCTTGCTGAAATTCACTGCGCTACGATGCTCACTAACACCCGCAATAGCAGGGAGAGAGAGCAAATGAGCGGATACGAGAGAGAGAGGGAGAGATACCTAACGTTGCTCGTCTTTAAGACTGCTCACTCCCGACCCATTTCAAATGCCTGCCACAAACCACACCATTGCTTAGGCCTTGCCACTCGGAGATGCTAACCCAACGGACCACAACCACCTCCTGCTGCGGGCAATTAAAATGCTCACCGCTTGCCTGTCTTTAAAATACAAGTATCTAAAGAAAAAACCAGCAGCACGTTGTGGAGTGAGTCTCAGCACACTCTTCCAGCCACCTCTGTTTCCCAGCCTGGCATTCCTAGCTGCTGCTTGTGATACAAACTGCATTACTTTGGCAACAGCTTTCTATATGGTATTTTTAAACAACATTTTGCCTCATTTGAAGTCTGCTTCAAAACCCAAAGGTTTTTTGGTCTTACACAAACTCCTTCGTAATAAGCCAGAAACAGCAACCTGAATATAGGAAACAGGTTGCAAAGAGGCTTTTGCAGCTCTTGAACGACTCTGTAATCCTACCATATATACTGGGACAGTATTTACATCAGACCCACATGCAGAAAGCAAAACATAAACTGAAGGGCCTCTGCTTTTCCTGGAATTGTCTCAGTCAAGAAAGAAAAAGCCAGGCTAATAACATTTAGATGCGGCAAGCTACTTATTAAAAAGCAAGATTACTTATCATAAATGAGACAACACACACCTTAAAACTATACAATGTATTCAGCTGAAGAAAAATAACTTGGATGTGTGCAACTCCAGAACCAGAACAGAATAAAAGTAAATCTAAAATAATAATATTAGCCCTGCAACATATGAACAGCTTTAATTTAAAAGGACACTGCCAAATCGCATTTTCAGTAATAGTTTTAATTGGGTTTATTCCTATATTCCTCTAAATGGCAGAGCTCCCGCTGAGATGTGAGAGAAAACAATAAAATGTTGACTTTTTTTCTTTTCTTCCTTTTACAACCCCGTCATTAGAGTATTACAGCAAATTATGATTTTCTTCCTTTTTCAGGAACATGAGGTATTGCTCACGGATGTTTCATATTTAAATGTTTTTCTCTAGCATCATAGCTTGTTGCGCAAGTTCTGCAAGTTCTGATTTTTTTGATAAAGGCAGGAATTATACTGCCTATTTCGTTTTATTCCTTTCAGGATAAAATCATCCACAATATGACCGACTCTTTCTGACGGCAGAAATACAGTTCTTTAATCGGTCATTTCAAAATACCTGGGCAACTCCATGTTTACCCTCTGGCTTTTTTTTGTTCTTAAGCGTGTTAGTGCCAGAGCACTGGTCCAAAGAAACAAAACTACGAGGATGCTCTGCAGAAGGACGCTTACAAAATTTGATCCAGCTCGAAAGAAATATGAAATAACACAGCTATTTGAAATTATTGAGAGTGTCCATTTAAAAAAAAAAAAATCACTGCTCTTTGGTTGGCAAAAGAGAGAGGAAGAAAGAAGGAAACCTAGACCACACAAACACGAACATTCAAAGAAACGGGATAAGCACTCCTCAGACAACATGCTGGGCCTGATCGCTCCTCTACCGTTCTCCCTGCAACTCTCATCACCTCCTTCTCCAGAAGCCAACCTCCGCACCTCTCGAGCTCCTCTCGGACCCTCTGCGCCAATTGCCCTTTCCTGTCACCTCCAGATCCACTGGGCAAGTCCAGCTGCAGTGCTCGTTTCGGAGGGGGACAAGACTATCTGACTACCGGCAAAGGTATGGCACTAAAGAGGCAATTAAAACAACTACTCACATCTTGTGCAAATATTCTCTCCCTCACTCTCTGATACTCCTCTTCTCTCTCTTCAATTGATTTACTTCGTCTGTCATCTCTAAATGGAAGAATTCTGTTTTGCTGAGCAGAAAGAAAACCAGGAGGGTTATATAAGTTGAGCTGTTAAAAACTGCCATTAAGTAACTGTCATCTGAGAATAATAAATGTTCACTTAAACAAATGAAGCATGAAAACGATAGCTGTCGTTCCTTCACAAAGCGCCCCGCAAAGCGGGGCGCCCAAGGATTTCTGTACAAACATCCACCGCGGGTTTGTAGAGCGAGTGGCCAAAACAAGGCTTTCTGCATGGCTTTTGTGGAGTCACCGTCCTAAAATCGGGTGTTCTCACCCCAAGCCTAAGTGCCATTGCCCTCAGCTACTAAGATTTCTCCACTCTCCTACCGTCTGCAAGCAGCAGGAGGGCAGGCAGCACCGCGCTACCTACGAAATCGAGGAAGAAAAGAGGGAGACTAGGTGGTGAGAGCTAAGCTGCAAACCCTAGAAGAAACCCACCAAAGTCTATGTGTATGAGAAGTCCCAAAAATTCAGGATGACAGTTTTAACCATTTCCACACCATAAAGGAACCCTGGACTTCAGTTTCGCTGGGAAAAGAATGGCCATTTGTGCCTTCCGGTAAACCACAGTGCAGGAAATGGCTGTGCCGCGGAAGGGATGAGAGGAGAAGAGAACCCCCAGCAAGAAACGCTTCATTGGCCATTGGGTTTCAAGCACTGCCCCTTCTCTCCCTGCACCCCAGGCACCTGGTGAGATGGGTCATGCTGCTTTCCTTTGGCTGATGCCCATATTCATCACACCCTGAAAATGCTTGGGTTTTGCTTTCGAAGCCAACTCAGATGCAGCATAACTGGCAAGGCTGTTATATGTACAATTGAAAGTCAACGAAAAAAGGGAAAAAAAGAGAAAAAAAAAAAAAGAACGGAAAAAAAAAAATCAGTCTTTTACTGAAAACATGAAGGAGAGTGTCAATGAGAGACTCACTGGCAGGTCCCTCCACAAATATAACCTAGGCAAAGAAAGTATATGCTTTCTTCTTACCTGTGAGAACTTTCTCATACAAGCAATTCACATCAGAACCCTTTTTGAATTTTTTTGTTGTTGATTTGTTCCACATACACAACTTGCACTGGATTGAAACAGCACAATACCCGCTTTTAAAGGCAGCACAAAACACACACATTTCCCTGGCGCTCCCCTACTCATCGGGCTCACCTAAGGTAAGGCAGTGTTATGGCACAGGCAACACAGAGGGGGAACGTCTGCCACAGTACATGCACAACAAGCAAGTTACACAGACAGTAAAAGGTGGTGAGGGCATAGGAGAAGGAAGGGAACTAAAACACAAAACTGATTTTTTTTTTTGGTCAAAACTTAATTTAGGATGTTTTTTTAAAAAAAAAAATTCAACCTGGCCTCACCATCACATGTTTGTTTAGGGCATTTGTGGTTTTTTAATTTTTTTTTTTTTTTCCCCTCTTTCCTTTTTGGGCTACAGCAGTTTATCATCAGCCCATACTGAAATCCAACTCTAACTGGGTATAACAGAAGGAGAAAGCTGTAGGGAGCAGAACAACCGCTACAGGCGAGACATTGAGAAATGCGACTGACACAGCCGTCCACGCAGCCCGGCGCCGCCGGCATTCCCCCTCCCGTGGTCATGCAGCAAGTCCTGCGCCAAGCAAACCACCCATGCAACCCCACACACTGCCACGGCTGAAGCGGCCACGCCGGGGCTCAATGCGACCCGCGGTGGTACGTACGCCGGAGGAGGCGGGGAGGGGGCAGGAGGGGAGGAGAGCAACAACAAAAGAACAACAATAACATCAGTCAGCCCACCTTCAAAAACAGAACAAATTTCAGCAACTCTCGAACCGAGAACCAACCTGATTGTCTTCTTTATCAATACTAGAGTTATCTCGCTTCAAGATAAATCGCTTCTGGGATTCTTCACCTTTTTCATCTTTTAAATGTTCAGAAAACCTTTGCTCTGGTCTGCCAGCAAAGTAAAACATAGCAATAAAAAAATCTTTCTTTGGGTTTTGCTTTGATCTTTATTTCTCAGTGCTCTTTGTTTTCACAGAGGCATTCAGTGCAAAAGCAGTTAACACTCGTGGTCATGGTGAGACGCTGCCTATAGCTGTCTGAGGCTGCTGTATCGCTGCGAACTGTTATTGCTATAAATAGCTTTTGTTGTTGTTGTTGTTGTCTAGCAAGGAGCGGGAACCCAAAATCTCAGTCACTGAAATATTTAGACTCTCCTCACTGTGACTGAAGGACAGGGAAAACAAATTAACATACTGTATCTTAATTTGTTTCCTTCAGTAGCTGTGACCTCCGGCAACACTGCCGCTTGGTGAAGCCTATCCACCTCCAAGGGTAAGGCAAAAGTGACAGAAATCTTAAGGAAAAAAACAACAAGAGTTTCCTCACTCCTAATAAACAAAACTGGTAATGGGAGGGACTGGTGGTGTTTTGCTTAAACAAGATATTATCTCATCACCATTAAGTGGGGAAAATAATCCGTAACAATCATAGAGTGTCAACTAGTTCACCGATTTAAACCCATCCAGACAATTTTTTTTTTTTTAAAAGCCAAACCCCACTGGTTAAAAGCTCAACATTTTCAGGTTTGTAAGCTGGGAGGATGCTGTTCCACGTTCCCACCTTGCACGAAAAGCAGCCCCTCACATCACCTCACCTTCCACAAAAAGCAAATTTTAAGAAGCATCTCATGTCACCAAGCTGGTCCCTGCCAATGCCTCGTAGCTGTCAATAAATAACACCCCAGCCCACGCCGCTCCCAGACCCAAACCTGTAACGTTTTTAAGCCCCACCAGTTGCCGCAGGGTGACCAGCGGCCTCGAGAACGGAGCCGGGATTCATACGTGGCTGTCGCCCAACTAAGGCCCCGCCAACGCACGAGCTGGTTTTTAAAAGCAATAATAACGCCGTGCCACGCCGTGAGGTTTCTAGCGGGGAACACAAACCTGGCACTCCGCGCCGAAGGAGCCGCTAACATCGCTACTGGTAGGAGATGCTCATGTCTAGACACCCCCATGAACGAGGCACGAAGCTTCCACTGACATTAACGGATCGATTGTGAAGAAATCAAAAGGTAGAATTTACAGAAGTCAGCGACTTCGTACACAAAAGCCCTCTACAAGCTTTAAAATAAAAACCTCAGCTGCATCTTATTGCAGAATGGAAATTCAAGCCAGATGTGTAAATCAGCCACCATTTTTTTTGTTACAGCGTTCAGAGTTGCACTGAACTCATTAGCAATGGATCTCCAATCAAAATACAGCACATATTCATGCCATATAATTACAGTCCATTACAATTCATTGTCACATGCGCAGGAAACATTTATACTGAACTGTTAGAAATCCAATATTAAGAGACAGCAGCCCTCCTGACTCACTTTCTGTACGAATTTTAAGGACTCCCACTTCTGCCTACAATTTGCAGGTTTGTGACAAAGCAACAAAACGCACTGGCCCGATTCCCACAGCTTTTGAGAACTCAAGATACCGTTTTCCGTCAGCTGTAAGTGCTAGCACGAACAGATACAGTGCCCAACAGATGAAAATGAGCAGGCTGGATGGCGTAACTAGCCGTCTTTTTGGCAAGCCCAAAGGGGCATGGCTCTCTGCAGAGTCTGCTAGCCTAATGGGTCATTAGCCATGTTTGCTCATAAACAGAAAGGCTACAAAGGCCCATTAATGGATTGCCAGGTGGGTTGTTCTGCCTTTGCTCCCATTAATGAGCATGGTGCCTGCACAGCCGGAAAGGAAGACTCATTCCCTCACATAGTCTGCTTTGACAAGACCAACTGAGGAACGTTAGTTTTCTTGTTTTGCATCCTAACACGCAAAGTGAGCTTCTGCAATTGTTCTATCAAGTGTAAAATTGATAGTTGTAAACTAACTGCTGCGCACCTAATAAACTCTATACCGAGCATAATAAATAACTACGATTTTAAAATGCAGAGGGGAAAAAAGTAATAAAAAATTAGAGGGGAAAAAAAAGCTTCAAAAAGCAATTTGGGAAAACTTCTCCTCCAACTACCAACTTAGGTAAACAACAATCTGATTTTCATACTTCATAGCATTATTTTCATTTTTGAATCCCATTTTCACTTCATTTACTATTTATAAAATGTTTGCACTTGTCAGAAGAGAATAGGAGAAGTGTTAAGATCAAGCCACGAACCTGAACTAATGATCCAGTACGTGCCTGTTAATAAAACTAATCTACAGGTCCAGTAGATGATTAACCTCCACCGCTGTGAACGGAAGTTTGCCTGGGTGAACATGCAGAGCATCACGGGGCAGCGCAGCACTATGAATGCCATGAGAAGGCCCTTCCCTCCCAGTTTGTCCCTGCAACTCCAGGTCACTGTCACCAGTTAGATTGCAAACAGCACAACCAGCTCAGTTAATAAGGATGTAAAGGCTGAGGGAAGACTGTCAAGTGAGAAATAGGATACCACAGCAGCAAGTATCTCCAGGCATGCCAACACTCAGTAAGTGCTCAAATGTTCAAGGTCAGAAAAGGACATTCAGTTGAGAGAAATGGAAACTAAGAACTATTTTAAAGAAGGTATCAGAGTCCAGCAACATTTACGTATAGGGTTGTGGGTTTTTTTCCTTCAAGACTGTTTACTGCCTTTTCTTTCCTAACAACTATTGCAAAAATATATTATTATTAGGATACAGATAGCAAACAAAGTTTAAACCCAGTAAGTGGAGCCAAACGCTCTGATCATTTGGGAGGAGAAGAGGTTGACTCTGCAAAGACTTAGGTCTGGTTCTCTGATGAAAGTCAGTGCAAGTTCCACATTCACAGCTTTGAAGTCCCCTGTAACCGTATAATGCATTTGCTAAAATGAAGCAGATATGCTGTGGTTATTCTGGGGAAATCTGTTGCATTAGTTTATGAGTTTGCAGGCAAACTAACTGCTTGAAAATGGAAGAAAATAATATGCAATTTTTAGTAAGACACAGTATACTTTCAATATACTAATACAATATATAATTACAGTCATACATCAGATCCAGTCAATTCACCTCATGCAAGTCCTATATTAATAACAATTTAAGCTTTTTTAGCCCTGATGCTATCAGTATTGGAGTCTACACAACACACAAACTGTGTTCATGCACCTAAGGGAGTGAATTTATCCAGCTTATTTTCAGTACTGGCATAAATTAAGATCTTACTCTAGTCAAAGCATAGTTTACAATTACTGTCACAAACCCATGTAAACTCAGGAACTTACTCACTATCACCACACTGGTTACCTAATTTACACCTTCAGACACTAACCACATCTCAGTATAATACAAAGTGGTAAAAATGGGGCTTGCATATCCTTTTTGAAGAGACACTGAGTACTTCTAAGGACCTTCTCACTGACTCTGGTACTCCATTTAGGGATCTTCTGCAAATGAACCCAAACAAAACAACATACAATACCTATCCTATATTGGTGAGTTGACCCTGGCCACACACTACACCCATCTACATGCTAACAACCATGTGCAAGAAAACAGACAGACAAATGTATGCTTACAAAGAGTGCTGCCCGCCTGTAAGATATTCAGTATTTCATTTAGCTCCCATATCTGGAATGAGTGGATCCCTTTAGAACCTCAAATCTCACTACGCCAAAAAAGCTTAAGGAGGAAATACCAATTCCCTTTAAGTCAATAGGATTTCTGCAATTTAGGGACTGTATTGAGAAAGCCAGGAAGATGACCCAATTATACCTTAAAGACTCAGAAACCAACACACAAGGAGGGGGGATCACACAGGCTAGATAAATGTAAAGTGCTTGGGTTTTGAGGGGTTTGTTTGTTTGTTTTAATATAACCTTTTGATCATCCAACTTTTTATTGCTTGACAGTACAGGTGGAAGCAAAACATCTGTGCCCTAAAAATGCAACTTCAGCAAAACACAGTCGCATATGAACTCATTTAGTATTTCCAAAAGAAGCTGTCAGGTAGCTCAGTTATTCATCTTTCCGGCAACGTGTTTCAGAACAAGACACACAGCCCGTTTCTTCCTTCCCAGTAAGGCTTTTCATCAGGTTGCTACGAATCCGTTACAGAGAAATCGGCTCTCAGGGCACGGCAGTGCTCTTTTACTGCACATCCTTAGGCTGCTGCACAGCCCCTTTCCCACCCCCAGATCTGCCAGAAAGCCTAGGCCCTTTCAGCAGCCAAGACAGCCTCTCTTCTCCATCCTGCCCAGCAAGGTAGCACCGTTCAGGTAGCTGCCAGCAGGATAACCACAGGGAATCAACTTCGGTAGATTCCCTGCAGCACCCAAACCTTTCGCCGTGAAAAGCTTCCTGAAACTCTCTGAACATGTATGAACTTTTGCTAAGTCTGCTTGCATCACTCAAAATCTTTGGAAACCTTTTCCTAATCCCTTTTCTTTCACAGTGGAAAGAGGGAGAAGATGGATTATGAAATAACTCTTTGGTGAGTGATCAGCTTATCATAGAATCTTCGGGTTGGAAGGGACCTTTAAAGGTCATCTAGTCCAACAAACTTATCCAATTGCTAGACACAGGCATCATTAAATCTATCTAGGGTTCTTCCCTGGTTAAGAGCACTTCTGTATACTTCACTGCACCACTGGGTCCAGACTTGGGGGAGAATATTCAAGCAAAATCTCAGGGCAGTACTGCTTTCCCATTTCTAGGGGCTGTGCTCCTTCCCATGCAGCCAATGATAATTTCGACTCTTTCAGCCTCCTTTTTGTGTTGGGAGATCATTGTGACAGTCACGTCAAGATACGGGTCAAGTTTCTTATTTCTTATTGTGCCTGCAATACTCTCACTGTGAGGGTGACTGAGCACCGGCACAGGTTGCCCAGGGAGGTTGTGTAGTCTCCATCCTTGCAGACACACAAAAGCCATCCGGACACAGTCCTGAGCTAACAGCTTTAGGTGGCCCTGCTTGAGCAGGGAAGGTCGGACAAG